AAGATTATATCAAAGGTGGGATAATATATGGAAGGAATATTCCATTGTTAGCCCAAATAGATACACTTCTCTTCAAACAGATATACCTAAAACACCTTGGTATAAGTCTTTTAATGTACCTAGAAAATATGTTACCTCGATCATTAGACTGAGATTTGGACATGCTTGTTACCCCAAACATTTATTTAAACTCAATGTTTTAGATAATGATCGATGTGAATTTTGTACAGAAGAAGGAAACCTAGATCATATATTTTTCAGTTGCCCCAGAAATACTATAATTTCAGCAAGATTAATAAATAACTTACATAAATACAATATATTAGCCCCTTGGAACCTTCAGTACTTATTATCACTAGACTCGAGACCAGTGTATGATTCCTTAGTTATGTTTTTAAAGGATAGTAAAATAACCATGTAAATAATTATGTATTAGTTAATAAAGTAACCTTTGTTTCTTACCCAATTGTCAAATTCCCCTCTTACCGTGGCCTAGTGTTGTATGTCTTAAAAAAAATGCCTTGATGGGCCCCTAGGCGAGAAGAGAGTGACCCTGTTTACCTGTTCTTTGTTTTGTATATTTATTAATATAAACTCAGACAACTATTTTTTTTACCATGTTGAGTCTGGCTGAATGACTAAAAGTCTATGCCAATAAAAAAAAAAAAAAAAAAAAAAAAAAAAAAAAAAGATATATAAAGTGGTCTACATTTTCAAGACTGACGTTGTCAATAACAAGATTAGTTTGTAAATTACTCTTATTTTTGTTTTCTGAAGGTTCATTTTGAGACCCATTTTATTTGACTGCTGGTTTAATTCCTTCAACATTTGCCCCAGTTCCTTGATATATGTACTAAATAATACTATGTCATCCGCAAACCTCAAATGGCTCAAACGTACACCATCAATGCTTAGACCTTTTTCCTCCCAGTCAAGCTGTTTGAATACATTTTCCAATGCTAAGGTAAAAAGCTTTGGTGAAATAGTATCACCTTGTCTTTATCAAGGCGCATTTTTTCAGTTTTTTCGTCTTCATTGTGGAATGTGGCCTGTTCATAAATGTTTTTAATGAGTGTAGTGTACCGTGAGTCTATTCGAGCATCCTTCAGGGCTGACAAAAAGAACCAAGTTTCAATACTATCGAAAGCCTTGTGAAAGTCGATAAATGCCATATGTAAAGGTACATTATATTCTGTGGTTTTTTCTACTAGTGTTCTGATGGTTTGTAAGTGATCATTAGCACCAAACCCTTTTCTAAATCCCGCCTGTTCAACCGGTTGATATAAATCAAGTTTTTGTGTTATGCGGTTGGTTATTATTCTTGTTAACAATTTGTATAAGTGTGACAACAAACTTATAGGTCTGTAGTTTTCAATATTAGTAGTGTCTCCTTTCTTGTGTAAAAGTATTATTTCGGCGTTTTCCCATAGGCTGGGTATTCTTTTTTCTGTTAGACACTTATTCAGTAAGACTTCCACAACTTCTACAACGATGTTGCCGCCCATTTTTAACATTTCAGACGTTATACGATCCTCGCCAGGAGCTTTTTTGTTTTTCATTTGCTGTAAGGCATGTCTAATTTCCGAAGAGGTTATTTTAGGGAGGGTTTCCGAGCCGACGTTTAGAATTGTTCTGTGGTCTGTTTCAGGGTTCTGTATAGTAGATGTATAAAGATTCTTATAGAACGTTTGTATATCCTTGATTATTTGAGTTTTTTCGGTCACCGTATTCCCCTGTTGATTTTTGATTTCAGTTATCTTTGATTTTCCTTTAGTTAAATTTGATTTCAATACTCTCATGTTTCTATTGTTTTCGATGTTTGCAATATTTGTTTTGTTTTATAAGCCCGCAAGTCTGACCTTATGCTCTTTTTAACTTTATTGTTGATAGCTTTATACTCTGGTAATTTTTTCGATGTTCTTCTTTCTTCCATTAAATTAAGTGTTGTTTGTTTCAGTTTCGTTTTTCTGGGATTTTTATTTTTATCACAGATCTTTTTTGCAGTTGATGTTATGTCATTCGTTAATTTTTGTGTTATTTCATTTATATCTTTCGTGTTGAATACTGGTAGAGGTCCTAGTTTCTTTTTTAGTTCACTTTGATATTTCTCTTGATTCATTTCGAGTGCTTTCTATGTTTGGCAATTTATCCTGTGTTAACAATTTTCTTCTATCTAATTTCGTATTTATTTCTATTCGCGTCCTAACTAATCGATGATCACTACCAGTGTTGAAAGAATTTAGTACAGTAAGATCTTTAGCAATGTTTTTGAAGTTAGAGAGTATAAAGTCAATTTCATTTTTTACTTTGCCATCTGGGCTTAACCACGTCCATTTTCTCTGCATCTTTTTCTTGTAGAAGGTATTTAAGCAGAATAGTTTTTCTTTGCTGAGGAAATTTATGAGCATATCTCCCCTGTGATTTCTACTTCCCTGTCCAAAATTTCCAATATATTCGTTCTTTCCTATTTTAGCGTTGAAATCTCCTGTAATTATTACGTAATATGTTTTCCCTAGGTTTCTGGCTCTTGTAATGTCTTCATAAAGTTGTTCTACCTCTTCATCATCTGCAGAAGAAGTTGGTGCATAACAGTGGATTATTTGAATGCTGTATCTACGATTTAGTTTTATTACCATATAGATAACTCTATTAGAAATCGCTTGGAATTTGGTTACCATGTTTTCAATTCTCTTATATACTAAAAAGCCTACGCCTCCTATACCTTGGTTATTTCCTGAATTGTATTGGTACAAAGTGTGCCCTGATTTTAGTAGAGTCGATTCTTCGCCTTTAAGCCTTGTCTCGCATAGGCCTACTATGTCCCATTTGATGGTCTTAAGTTCTTCTTGCAACTCTTCTAGGTTATCTTCTGTCCTCATCGTTCTGATATTATATGTTCCGATGTGCATTCTGTGTGTACTAAGCGAATTCTTGCCTCCCCATATTCCACGAGGCAGACCCTTTTCTGGGTGTGGGATTTGGCATAACATACTCCACCCACCTGGGGACCGTTCCGTTTCGTTTTAGTATTCGCCATTTCTGTATTTGGAAGGATGAGTAGCCTTGAAACACCACGCTGGCTAGACGGGTTGGTGAGTTTTATATCAGCCGCCAAATTCTAGGTCAGACGCTGTTCGCAGCCGTCCATTCTGGATCAGACGCTACTGTTTTGATTCTATATCAACCCTAAAATCGAGGGTTGCCATTTCCGCCATCCACACCGTACCGAAGCTCCGCTTCTCCGCCGTGTCTGCCGTTGTGGACTTCATCCGTAACCCTGGACAAGGGACCCTAACCAGGTACTGGTTTCCCGGGTCAGGAAACCCCCGGAATCTGCGGAGGGCAGGGATTGATTCATTTTCCCTGATAGGACTATCTTTAAGAATTTAAAGAGTTCCTACCCGCTACCCACTAGTAGCGGGTAGTGTACAATATTAATATAATAGCAATAATTACCGCACCATTAGCTTGATGTCTCATATGCTAAAGTTACTACTTAAAGTCATCCATAACCGAATATATCACAAACTGGACATAGACCTTAATGATACACAATTTGGTTTTCGCAAAGGCATAGGAAAGCGTGAAGCCCTTTTTTCACTTAATATACTGATACAACGATACCTGGACGTCAATCAAGATATATACGCATATTTTATTGACTATAATAAAGCATTCGATAAAGTACGACATAAACTTAATGTCCTGAAATCAAAGAAGATTGACTACAACTACGTATAATTTATAAAGTACGTGTTAACGAAGAGCTGTCAGACGAAATGGAAATTAGATGTGGAGTGAGACAGGGATGCGTATTGTCGCCAATTCTTTTTAATACCTACTCCGAAGAGATCCCGAAAAAAGCTCTTGAGGATGAAACAGCCGGAATAAAGGTAAATGGAGTTCCCATTAACAACATTAGATATGCGGACGACACTGTGATTTTAGCCGAAAACATTGAAGACCTTCAGAGACTGGTGACCAGAATAACAGAGTATGAAAAAGAGTATGGCCTTACAATGAATGTCAAGAAGACGAAATTTATGAGAATGTCGAAAACTCGAAATAACGAGAATCTCCAAATAAACGGAACCAACGTCGAACAAGTGGACAAATATGCATATCTGGGAACAATGATTAACTCCCCAAATTAATACAATCAGGAAATCAAAATAAGAATAGAAAAGGCTAGAGCAAATTTCAACAAAATGAGAAGAGTGCTATGTACCAGGGATTCAAAACTGGAACTAAGAGTTAGGTTGGCGAGGTGCTATGTTTTTTAGACTTTATTTTATGGAATGGAATCTTGGACCTTGAATGCGACATCAATAAAAAAACTGAAATCATTCGAGCTGTGGGTGTACAGAAAAATACTGAAAATATCATGGACAGAATACATTACAAACAAGGAGGTTCTGGGAAGGATGAATAAGAAATGGAAATTTTAAATACAATAAAAACAAGAAAATTAGAATATCTCGGACATATTACACGTGGAGAGAAATACACCTTACTCCAACTGATTATGCAGGGAAAGATCCAAGGAAAGAGAAGCATAGGGAGGCGTAGAATGTCGTGGCTGCGCAACCTGAGAGAGTGGTACGGATGCACATCAAATGAACTTTTCAGAGCAGCCGTCCCAAAAGTCCGAATAGTTATGATGATTGCCGACCTCCGCCGTGGAGATGGCGCTTGAGGAAAAAGAATAAATAACCAAAACCAAAGTAATAGTTACTACAACATTTGTTGTTCACTTGTACCGTTTTATTAAGACAATTATTTATACAACATTTGTTTAAATGCATTTTACACACATTTTATATACAAATAGTGTTAACAAATGTCTAGTATTTTCATTTAGCCATTATTCACAATGTAATATTTTTACTCCTTCATGGTCACTCACAGCGATACTTAACATAGTATCTACCTGCTAATATTATAAATATCTGTATTTGTTTTAAAAAAAAAATGGGTAAATTTAAATATGTTTCTTACAGCTCAGTTTGTGGGCCCAGGTGCTAATGCTTATCATCCCGAACTATCTCCTCGAATGAAAGATCAGAGACCACCATGTTATACAATTAAATCAAGGAGACCACCTCTTAAAGGATTTGCAACACCAGGTCCCAAATATGCCCTTCCAACTACATTAGGGTGTCATGTTCCAGATGTATATGAAAGACCATGTTACACCATGTAAGTCATATTTTAAGCCTTAGATACATAATTGTGAGGGTTCTAAAGCCCTAAGTAGTCCCGAGTAATATCATCGTGACCGTTTATTAGACTTAAAATTTATAGCATAGTGGATATGATTCTTCCAGGGCATGCAAGGGAATCCGGGATCGAATCCCATTGGGGCTATAAATTTAGAATTTAAATAATTGGTAAGATGGCGACTGGATATAGAGTACGAATCAATAATTCCAAGAAAATTTACATTTAAATAATTATATTTAATATAAATATAATATATTTATATTTAATAACTAAATCAAGAGTCTTACAAATTTTATTTTTAGAACCATTTAAGCAATATATTGACGATACCAAAATTTACATCAATAAACAATTATTTTATTAATAAAAGTGTTAGAGTAAAGTCGCTTAATATTGGGTGGGCGTCTATTATAGAGTAGTGCTCAGTTATTGAAATGACTGCTGCCACTCATAAAGTAGTAGTTATACTGTAGCAAGAAAACCATTATACGTTACGTGCCTATCTGGCGAACACTTCTTGCAACATATTATTATTTGTGCAACAAATATGCAGTTTTTAGTTAAATGTATGTAACATGTAATCATTTGTAAGTGAATAAATGTGTTATTTGTTTAAATATCTTTTTGTAAAATATGTATATATCTATCCAATACTTCGAGTACGATTAAGAAAAGGTTATCCATCCTTCATCCTTCTTTTCACTATACCTACGTTCTCGGGAGACAATCTGCACTTACCTAAAAACCGATGGCCTAACCCAGCTCAAAAAACCCGTAATTTAAAGCGTGAAACACCATGCTGAATGCATATCTACACGATACGTGGTCTCGAATAATTGCCTCCGGATATTAGGCGATCTCCGGTTGTAAGGAGACTTACTTGCTCAAGTAGGGCTCTGAACGAGTAGATATTTATTCCCTAGCTACTCGTGGAAACAGTATGGAATCAACAGTAACAATGAAAGAAAAAATGGATGAGGCTGGTAAAAGTACTCATGAAAAAAAAATCTCCAAAATGAAGACAAGTACATATGGATTACTTCACAAAGTGGGTAGAGATCTGAGCAATTCCAGACCAGAAGGCCCCCACTATTGTAAATGTGTTGATGGAAATGAGAGTACATCAATCGATTGGGAGTGCCTTTGGAGATCCATAGTGACCAAGTAAGGAACTTCGAAAGCGATCTATTCCATGGAATCTGTAATAGACTAGGCATTAAGAAAGCAAGAACTAAACGCAAATATGGTGTTCAATAATCAGTGAGACTGAGATCAATAGCTTCCGTCCTTCGCAATGGCCTACAGATTGGACGCGAGATGTAACTACGTTATGATCTAGAGTTTGGATGTTGACCTGGAGAAGATGTAGCTGGTAAAGATTATAGTAGCTGCGAAAAAGAATGGACGATATATATGGATTGGTTTGTTCCCATCTTCAGATCGCTAGCGATTTAATGAAGAAACGATACGCTACCCAATCCGAAAAGGGATGTTTTAAGAAAAATGACAAAGTCTGGCTTTATAATCCAAAGAAGCCAAAGGTCTAATCTCGATTGTTGCAGCAGTTCTGGAAATGTCCTAACCTCATTATGGAGAAGACTAACGATGCAATTACCGAATTAGTAAAATTCCCAAGGGAAAGCTGATGATAGTACACTATAAACGGTTGGCGCCATTCGAAGGAGACCAGGACGTAGATGAGGAAGTGGAAGTGAACAAGCAAGACATGGTGTTATCACTGAAGAAAAACAAAATCGACCCGCACTTCCAGATGACTACTCACTGGCCCATACCATCCCGGCCTTTTCTATCTGGTAACAAAAGACACTGTCCATGACCAACCCACCTACCAAGATGTATGGGGAGCATTAATTAAATTGAGAGACCACACACATGCAAAAGCTAGCCACGTCAAAGCCAGAATATTGCCAATTAGATTTTAAGGTTTTTCGAAATATGGTGATTAAATCTTTAAAGACACCGAAGTCAATGTACTAGTCTGCTGCAATCCGCATAGTTACTAGTGCGGAGCAAAAACCGCCCCTTGCCACTTTTATATATCTGTGAATGGTAAAAGAGGGTCCAGTTGGCGATACTAGCATCCAGTGCCAGTCCCGACAAGGTTCCAGGAGGGACCATTTCTTAAACGGGGGACAATCTTATGCTAGCTGTTAAACGACCCCAAACATATGTTCTCGAACATATAAAGGGAACACCGGCGTTTAAGATACGCCGATCGAAGGTTCCAGCGGTAACAGAAAATACCTGTTCAAGAATGAACAGAATAACATTACGCCGCCTTCCAAAATATTCGAAACGAGACTCGAATCGTTATCCTGTGTTTCGCTGAAGAAGCAAAAAGCAAGGGCGGTTCAAAAAAATATATATAAATATAGAACAATTGAGGCAGTCTACGTGAGAAGGGCACATAGGACAAAAGTGGGTTTTGAGAAAAACCACTTTGAAATTTTAACTTGTTGCTGTAGATACTAATTTGTTGTTTAAAAATTGAGCTTTCTACACATTAAAACTATTTATCTAGAAAGCCATTTTTTAAGTATGACATTGATAAAAATAAAGCTTATGTTTAAAAATAAGAAAATACAAAAAGCTCTTATGTGCCATTTTTAGATAGAACAGGGGATTTTTGATTGAAATTAATTTGCATGTGAAGAAAAAGAATCATTATAGAAATATATACTTTTTTAATACATTACATATTACATTTTTAATACATTATTAAACTATCAATTCAACATTTCATATTTAATGAAGTTTACATCGCCTTCATTTAGGAATCTGAAAAGGCTTGTAACATCTTCAACTTTCTTCTGGTTCACCTCTGGTCCAGGACATTTAGTTGTATTGACAGTGTGAAACTGTTGTACTCCTTGTTTCCAAAATCTGTACAGTTCAAAATTTTCTGTATAACTTCGGGAACATGAAATGCCACCGCTACGATCATATTTTATAATAACACAATTTATAATTTTGAAGGGAACTTTGTTTCTGGACACAGGTTTATGCAAGAAAAAGGGTTTAATGAAAGATTCCCAATCTTGAAGAAGGTCACTGTTCATTTTTACTTCAAATGGCGCAGGATTTTTTGGCATTCGCGTATTATCGGGAATTTTAAACTTGTAATAAATTGTATTATATTATGTAAATTATTTAAATAGTGATAGTCTCATATAAATGAAATAAGTCTTAATAAAGACTAAACAAACTAAGTGTTTAGAACATTATAATAAATTAACAAATAGTAAAATCGTAACAATTATTGTGTTAAATTGATTGGTCGCTGGTTAATCGTGGTGGTAAACTCCTAATTGATCTATACGGTGAAGAAATAACTTGTTAGACGAAATCTCTTCACACGTTCTTTATTGTGCTCTTATGGTAACATATGGAAACATACTGCCTGTATAAAATTGTAACGACTTTGCCTAGGGCTTACAGGGTTGCCGACTAGGCAAATAATATATATATATATTATATATTATATATATATATATATATATATATATATATATATATATATATATATATATATATATATATATATATATATATATATAATACAAAATAAAATATTTTTAAACAGCAGTACTTTTCTTAGAATATTCAATTGTGTTAGTTAAAAAATTTTACTTAGCTAAATTCACATTTAATAATAATAATTATTATTTTTAGGCGTCCAAAGTTGCCATATCTCCAAGGTGACAAGACTCCAGGACCTAAGTATCTAGGAATAGATACAAATATATTCAAACAAAAACCACCAATATACACAATGCGGCCAAAATTACACATCCCGCAACGATCAAAATCCCCAGGTCCTAAATATTATCCGCAATTACCTAAATGTGTTCAAACTAATAAAAGAGGATGGTCATTTGGATTAAAAATATGGAAAACAGACCCTTACTATATGCCAAAAGATTTAGAGTCAGGATGCTAATGGAAGTTTTATGAAAAGTTTCATTCATTTTTAAAGTGTTATCTCCATTTTAATTATTTCCCATTTATTAATACTTGTTATATAGTCCATGTAAGGCCGCTCCCTTAGGAAAAAATTTTCTGATTCGGTTTCTTTGCGGATTCCTGTTAAAAAATATCCTTTATATAAATCTCAAAGGTGCCGGGCGAAAATTTTGGCAGAAATTGCTTAAACAAGTTTTTTAAATAAATTCCAAAAATTATCTTTTTTTCACCGGATTAAACATTCAATTTCAATATTCTGAAGAGTAATCGGGCTTATTTCAATTTAGACCATTGTGTTTTAATTGTTAATTATGCGATTGCACTCGATTTTTAAGCCACCGCGGTGCGCCGTACTTCCTGGTACGTCTCTGTCGCACTTATACATATACGTACTTACGCGAAAAATTACCAACAAATAAAATTTATGGAAATAAATATAGTTGTACTAAGTCTTATGATTATCTTCTGTACAATTAGACACACAATAAATTTCAAAAGGTATCATTATTTTTAAAAGTCTAATAATAATTTCATAAAGTAGGTACTATAAGTTTCACTTTCAATTTACGGCAAAAATTAATTATAATAAATTATAAATAATTTAATAACTTAATATTTTAGTTATTTAAAAATAAAGTAAAATTTGGAAATTAAGAATTACCAAATTTTAATAAATATCAAGTATTACCTATACAGGGTGAGTCATAACTATTGGGACATAGACTAAGGACAAGTTATTTGGACCAAAATATGGCTATTGGGCCAAATATGCCTTAATAAAATATTGCTGAGAAAAAAGATACAGGGTGTTAAAGTTAATTTTTGTTTTTCGTTTTTTGGTAATAGTTTCCCTGTATATTCATAAATTGCTATCAAAATTGGCACAGAGGCATAATCTTAGAAAAGAAATAGTATTTTATTTACAATTCCACTATTAAATACCAAACTAATAAACAAAGTTACAACTAACGTAAGGTTTCCGTTTTGACCGATAAATCAAAACTAAACACACTTTAACTTAAAAGAACTCACAAAAACCCAAACTAAATGTTCTACATGGTTTCCTTCCATTTCTATGCCTTTTCTAATTCTTTTTATAAAGGATTTTCGGACGTTAAAAAAAAATATTATTCTGTCCCCTTATAAGATTAGTTGCATTTGAATGTATCTCCAAAGTTCTTCTCGTGTATTAATTTCATTGGCATAAACTAAGGACTTCATATGTCCCCAAAAATAAAAATCTAGCGGGTTGTACTCAGGACTTCTTGGTGGCCATTGAAAATCACTGCCTCTGCCAATCCATCGTTGAGGAAATACGTCATTAAGATGATACACAAAATACGTCATGATTTAGATTACGTCTAACAGCTAATGAAAAATAAGGTGGCGCTCCATCCTGCATAAACCACATTTTTCTTCTTACATTCAGTGACAGTTCATCTAAAATATCACTAAGAGTATTTTAGAAAAAGAATAAATAAGAATCTCCATTTAAATTCGGAGGAAGAACATAAGGCCCTAGTAGTTGGTCGCCTATAATCCCACGCCAAATATTCAATTTAAACTTATGCTGAAAATGTCTAACTTTAATAGCATACGGGTTTTCTTCTTCCCAATAATGACTATTTTGCCAATTAAAAACCCTTCGTCTGGTAAAAGTTGCCTCGTCGGTGAACATAATATTCTTAATAAAGTGTCTGTCATTGCGATGTTTAATTAGAATACGTTGGCAAAACTGTATCCGTCGTGGAAGATCTGTTAGAAGTAAATTTTGAATAGGAGTGAAGTGATAAGGATGGAGGTTCTGTTTTTTTTAGAATTCTAACAATAGACGACTGACTTACTTACGCTGCTGCTAATAGATGTCGTGAACTTATTTCAGGATTTTCATCTACTCGAACCAAAAGTTCATCTTCTTGATTAGGTGTGATTTGTTTCGGTCGACCACACCGATTTTTAGTGTGAAATGACCCAATTTCACCTAAACTACGATATAATCTTGCAAAACATTTGTGATTTGGTTGCCTTCTGTTTGCGTATAACATTCCATACCTTCTGGCTGCCGAGCGACCGCAAAAATTTTCTTGTGCGTATACGCAAATCATATCTCGTATTTCTTCATTAGTAAAATGATTGTGACGATACATTTCAATCAAAAAAAGTAACGATTACTTTTAAAAAATGCAACACTACACTACACTGTCACATAAAAAATAATTTACTCTGAACAAATGACATTTACCAACAACAATTATCTGACAGTTCGAAGCATACTTTTCATAAATGAAATAATATTTGAAAACCTTTTTTAAGACTTTAAGCAGTTCGACTGCGTTTTTATCGAAAACGGTTAAAATTATCATGATTAAACAAGAGTACCAATTTTACGTAAAAATGATGATTACGTCATATTTTCTAATAAAAATTACTAAAAAGTTTCATCAGAAAAAGTTTAGGCTCAATTTGATCATTAAGAATGGCGCCCTTTATGACAAAACGTAAAATTGTAAATAAAATACTATTTCTTGTCTAAGATTATGCCTCTGTGCCAATTTTGATAGCAATTTATAAATATACAGGGAAACTATTAGCAAAAAACGAAAAACAAAAATTAACTTTAACACCCTGTATATTTTTTCTCAGCAATATTTTATTAAGGCATATTTGGCCCAATAGCCATATTTTGGTCCAAATATCCTGTCCCTAGTCTATGTCCCAATAGTTATGACTCACCCTGTATAATCATATTTTTATTTACTATTTATACAAATAAATATGTATATATTCAATAGAAAGTATTTTGCATCGATCACTGCAAATAAAAAAGAAAAATAACAATACGCTTATTATAGATAAGCGCATTTAATTAGCAGATTGGCTATAAATTATAAAATGTTAAACTCTAGTCGTCAGAGACGAAAATGACAGTCAACCTCTAAAAACCATACGAACAATCTGAATTTTGCCGAGAATATTCCTTTTGGGACCCCAGAAAAGATACAAAAAAGTTTACCACTCTTACCCACAGGCTCCCTCCTAAAAACCCCCTCGTAGGGGGATAAAAACGCAAAAAATCGATTTACGAAAAATCTGTACGCCGTAAAAAAATATTTGAAATAAAGTTGTTGCTGAGATAATTTTAAACAAAAATGGTTATTAACACTTTTTGTGTAGAATAAACCGTTCTCTCAGCAACAACGCTTGAGGCGACCGTCGATTTTAAATGTCAGTTACGCGCACGAAATCAATGTTCAATACGATTTATATTAGCTCGACGGTAAAAATTCAATATCTTTTGATCCAAGTATCCTATCGACAAAATTCAAGATGCGTTTTAAAGGTAAAGAGTTCAGCTTGCCTATGCAATTTTTTTCTTTTATCGCAAATAAACTAAGATTTTATAAAGGTGTTAAGTAAATAAACGTGGCGCGATTTTTGTTATTTTTTTTATTTTCATGAGATCAATACGATCTATACCTTTTATTGACTGACCACTATGAAGTTTCGATTACTCGAGCCTAACCTTCAAAACATATAGCATAAAATTTTAGTTTTGAGTTTTGCCAACAAATGTTAGGCATTTGAAATATGTTTAAAAATGCTGGATTTAAACTTTCACATAACAAACAATTTAAAACGTTTAAAACTTTTTTTCAATTACAATAGCACGTTTTTCAAAAGAACCAAAGTTCCGCTATAAACTAAACTCAAAAACCGCCTTCTTGGAGGCATTTCTCGTGTAATATAAAATATTAATTTCTGCGTTTTTTATTCCTATTTCAAATATCTCATATTTGCTGCCACAATTCAATATTGAAATTTCATGTCATCGGTTTTAAAGATTGATCTTTAAAAATGAAAGTTTTACTACGAATGATCAATGAAAGTAATCAATTTTATTGATCTTACGAGATTCGTAAAAAATGGCGAAAAACGCGTCACTTATATTTATTTAACATTTTTATAAAAAATAAGTTTATTTGCCACAAAATACAAAAGCTGCATACGAAAGCTGTACTCATTACCTTTAAAACGCATCTAGAGTTTTGTCGATTGGACACTTGGATCAAAAGATATCGAATTTTTACCGTCGAGTAGATGTAAATTTTATTGAGCATTGATTACGCACGCGCAACATATTCAAAATCGACGGTTACTTTAAGCGTTATTCTGAGAGAACGGTTCATTTTATACAAAAAGTGCTAATATCCATTTTTGTTAAGAAGTCTCTCAGCTACATTTTTTATTTGAAACATTTTTTTCTACGACATAGATTCTTGGTAAATAGATTTTTTTGCGTTTTTAACCCCCTACGAGGAGAATTTTAGTGGGAAGCCCGGGGGGAAATGTAGTAAACTTTTTGCATCTTTTTTCGGGTCAAAATATAAAAAATATTCTTAGCAAAATTCAACTTGTTAGAATGATTTTCAAGGGTCAACCCTCTGACGACTGGACTATTAATAAAAATGCCAAGTATTTGTTAAGAATTGTTCGTAAGTCCATATAGTATATTTATGTAGAGTGCGACAGCACAGCATAGGAAACAAATCCTATTTGAAATCCTATAGAAAATTTGTTTCCTATGCTGTGGCGACAGACATACCATAGAGTGCGGTCGAGTGAACGCACATACTAAGCAATTAAAAACAACGGTCTAAATTGAAATAAGCCCCAATTACTCTTCAGAATCTTGAAATTGAATGTTTAATCTTTAATTTAGGGACATGGCAACCTTAAAAACAATAATTAACATATGAGTGTTCAAAGCCTCGAAAATGTACCTATATTTCAGATTATAAATCGCTTATAACTGGAAAATTATCACCTTTCGAGAAAAATGACAAGAGCCTTTTTTTGTTTAGAATAGCCAAAAAAATCTAAAAAATATATAAATATATAATTTGTGAAATTTGTTTAAAAAAATTGGTTAGGTATTTCTATTAAAAAAATTTGACATTTTTGAACAGGTAACCGCAAAGAAACCGAATCCGAAACCTTTTTATTATGGGAGCCGCCCCACAACATGGACTAATATGACACGTATCAATTAAGAGAAACCCGTATATAAGTTCAATTATTAACACGTGTACATTATTTTAACATTTCTATAAACAATACAAATTTGTATTTTTTTTATTTTGCGCTGATAAGCATCAATACAGTTTTGTTGTTGTCCTGGTTTTAGCAACCAAAGGATATCATCCGCACATGATTGATTTTTGGTCTCCTCGTGTCTGAGAAATAAGCTTCTTACTCCAGCTGGACTGACAAATAAAATTCTAAATAAAATGTAGATTTAAGCAGAGTCAGTAAAAAATAAGGAAGATGAATATGCAATCAGGCTAAATGTTTGTTTGATTGGAATATAATAAACTACAGGATAGAAGCTAGGACAATAAACATCACAAACAGAAGAACATATAACCAAAACACTACAAACTAAGACAATAAAAAGTAGCTACAAAGGCACCAGTCAAATGTAGATGTATAGATACCTTTCCTAAGTGAATTGTAGAAGCGATTATGACTTTTAAATTTAATTTTGAATATGAGATTGGGAAAAAGATAAAAATGAAAAAAAAAACCTTTTCTAACTGAACAAAAATTATACTGAAATAATGACATCTCTTAAGTTGAAATGATCCAGAATGGGTTATAAAATGATCCTCCGTTCGAATTTTCAGGTTATGACTATCTCAGAGGATCCACCATTATTGGTGGTTTCCCTGAGTTCCCCTGGTGGTTAAAAATTAGGATATAAACCTGGAAGAGGTAAAAGACATGAGAGATGCGGAAAACACGAAAAGTAATACTAGAATACTAGAAATACAGTTGCTATAATAGCTGATAAAGATTATATAAGCAGAACTAACTAGTGATTATTTATTTATTTAGCATATGATATATACAGATTGTGTATGTATATCGTGTGTCCAGAAACTATCCTGACAAACGAAGACCGGAAATTACTCAGATAATTTTAAGATAATTTCACCAAACTCACCTACTCCGAAAATAATTCCTAATTAAGATAAATCTATTTGAAGTCGGCGCCTTAATTAGTTTTTTTAATACCTCCAGCATGGGTCTATTTGAAAAACGAAAATTGGTGCGATTATTTATCCTCCAGAGTTAAATCGATTTCATAAATTGCTAAATTCTTTGCGGTCATAGGCGTCCGTTTTGGGTAGGTCAACTGTTATTTTAACGCATAACTTTTTACTTTTAAGGTATTTCAGGTATTCTAGTACTAAAAGGTACTCTTACTTAAGTCGATAGAATACATAGTTGTCCAGAAAAATCTATTTGAACATTCCTATTTTTTAGTTATAAAAGTCTAATTAATATTTTTTGCAATAGTTGGCTTTGACCTGTCAACAGAAGTATAACCTACGTTTTTCATTAACAAATTGTGGTCGGTTTTTTCAATTCAAATTCAAATAATTTCAATTCGAGCAAAATTGTTTTTACTAATAAGGAATAGGGCTGATATGCTTTAGTTTATGATACGAACAACGTTGATACCCTGAAAATCTCCCAATCGTAAAATAACTTTGAAATTTTTGTAAGAATTCGGCGTTTTTTAAGCAAAAAGAGCAAATTTATGCATAGTGAATAATGTTCACACCGAGCATCTTTTGTAAATATCTACTTTTGATACTAGTTCTTTTGTTTTACTCGTAGTTTCGTTCCATCTTTTTGATTGTGGTGCATTTAGAGGGTTAGAGGGGTTTTTTAATAAATGCAACACACAATTTTTAAAGAAGTTTAGGAAAAGAAGCAAAAAATCAAATTGAAACAAAATTTTATTAGAGGGGTTTTAAAAACAAAGTGGTGAAAAACCACTTTAGTCTAAACCTAAACTTTCAACGCTAGTGTAGAAGCTTATAGAAGCGATAGAGAAAGGTTTCAAGAAATTGTAAACATGATGACGGCCAACGACTGAATACGGACACGGCATCTAAAGAAGATAGAAACTTCGCTTTAATAAGACATTTATCAGCCATAAAAAAAGCATTTTGTGATGTTACATTACCATTTTTGAATTGTTTTTATAAGAATAAACTGTTAATTATGCTTAACCACAGGTATTCAGTACTTTATCGCACAAATCTTGCAACTAAGAATTATTATGCAGTTAATTTATAAAATGCAATTATCTCGAAAACTATTGAGTTTTGAAGTTGTTAACAAGTATACCTTTTTTATGTTAAAATAACGTATCTTTATTATTTTTTAACAAAAATAGCGCTAACTTAAAAATCAAATAAGTTAAGCGCAAATTTATGCCACTAATGTGGCACATCTAATTGTTTTGAAGCATACCTTTCCTGAGAAATATCTTATAATAACCAGTCTTTCGTCTTAAGATCTTGATTTTATTTTCTTAGACAGGCCCTGACAGTTACTTCCTTAGTCTCTTTTACCACTATGGGGCGTTTAGGCATAATATTGCGATCTATTACAGTAGCTCTGCTCCCTCCCACATAGCCCTCACCAAATCAGTCCATTTTTTGGTATACTCGTTACCACAGGTAAACTAAACGGTTTCTTTCGCTAAACGTTGTTTTAGAGAACTGTAAAAGTTGATTCTGATTTCCGATAGGAGCCTATCTACTTCGTGTTCCAGTTTATTGATGATCAGGTCTGATCTAGTTTAATATCAGTATCTTTATTATTAAAGTATATTAAAGTATCTTTAATACTTTTGTGACATTGCTGTATCACCTAATCTGCTCGTTAGAGTTCCTAAGTTTTTCTAGCGACTCTTGGTTGAGGGAGGGTTATGGTATTCTCTCGAAGTATCTTTGTATCGTCGGGTTTTATCAGTTCCGCCGTTTTGCTTTCGTATAAATTTTCTTTTGTTCACCGCCAGCAACTATTTTTGCCTCTTCCCTGATTCTTCTCTCCTAGAGAGGCGCTTTTAAATTGCCTCAGCTTATTCCCCTCGGGACACGTACGGTTTAATATTTGGGGCGGAGATGGAGTCCGCGATCGTAGTCGTCTCTCTGATCGTTCCCGTTTGATTTATTTCTGAACCCCCTTCTGAACTATCTCTTCTCTCTCATCATCTCGTTATCCATATTTAATTCCGCGGGACAAAATAAAAATGTGAAATTCTTTACGATTTTGCGTATCATCCTTGCGCAGGGCATTCACACTTAAACGTGCTATCAAGAATGCTCCATAGGGAGAAATAATGTCAGTGAAATTTGTCTTGATAAAAGAGTGTTAAATGTTCGAGAGAAAGAGATAGAGGAAGAGAGAGAGTCATAACAGAAAGTGTTTTAATGTACATGTGTGTCAATCCAAGAGATGCGAAGCGATACACACAGCAATAGGCTTTGGAACTAAAAATGATGCTAGACGGGATATGTTGGATATATGGACCATATTATATTCAAATAGATTAGTTCATGACAAGAAATGTAGATATTCTCTAATGTAAGGGCCGAAAAGTAATAATTAATTAGACTGTAAATAAGCTAGCAACAACATACGTTGTTTGTGCTGGACATTCAAGTAGGAAACAAAAACAACGAAAGCAAAATATCGAAGGATATACCGAAGAATAGAAATAAACCAGAAAGGAGAAGAGAAAACTATAAAAAGAGCGGCAAGAAATACGGTCGGAGACAAATCTTCAAAACTATATAATCTTCAAAAATATATATTTTAAATCTACTTGATACCAGGGATATAAACCAGTCGTGAGAGATTTCACCTCTAAAAATCATACGAACAAGCTGAATTTTGCTGAGAATGGCAATTTTGGGACGCCAAAAAAGATTCAAAAAAGTTTACCACCCTACTTCCGGCCTTCCCCTTAAAACCGATTAGATGTCTTTCGATCAAAGTGTACTATCGACAATAATTTAAACGGGATTTAAAGCTGAAGAGAGCAGCTTTCGTATTCATTTTTTTCTATTTTGCTGCAAATGAAGTCAGTTTCTATAAAGCTGTTAAATAAATAAGTGACGCGATTTTTATAAGATCTATAAAACTTATCACTTCCATTGACCGGTCATCGATGGAATTTCCGTTGTTAGAGCCCAATCTTCGAAACCAATGGCATGAAATTTCGATTTTTGGCAACAAATATGAGACTTTTGAAATATGCCTAAAAACGCTGAATTTAAACTTTCGTATTACAAATGATCTAAAACATTTAAAACTAACTCAATCTTCATATGACCCGGTCTCCCCTACTCCTTTAAAAATCAAGATGGCGCCTGACACAACGGCGGAATTCAGTCGCTATTTTAAATTTACACTACTATGGATCCCCTAAATGATATAATAACAAGATTTAGGGCAGCTTGGCATACAAGGTCAAATGCTATCCCGACTGGACTATGTGTAGTTTGGAAAAACATACTTGAACAATCGAAAAAAAGGAGTTTTAAATGTTTTAATTCGTGTATAATATGAAAGTTTAAATTCAGCGTTTCTAGGTATATTTCAAAAGCCTTATATTTGTTGCCAAAATCACAATTTCATATATATAGGTATCGAAGATTGTGCTCTAACAACGGAAATTCCATTGATGACTGGTCAATGGAAGTGATAAACTTTATTGATCTCAATGAGAATCGTAAAAAATGGCAAAAATCGCGCAACGTTTATTTATTGAACAGCTTTAAAAAAACTGACTTCATTTATGACAACATGCCAAAGTTGTACCTATACGAAAGCTGCACTCTTCACCCTGATAATGCATTGTGATTTTTGTCGATAGAACACTCTGATCAAAAGATATCAAATATTTACCGTCGAAGTGATAAAAATTTTATTTAAAAAATTGATTTCAAGCGTTGTTTCTGAGAGAACAGTTCATTCTACAGAAAAAGTGCTAATCAATAAATATTTTTGTTTAAAATTATCTTAGCTACATTTCTTTTTTGAAACATTTTTTCTTACGGATTCTTGGTAAATCGATGTTTTATATACCACCACCCTCCTCCTACGAGGGCGATTTTAACAAGAAGCCCGGTAGTGATGAACCTTTTTGCATCTTTTTGGGGTCCTAAAATTGACGTTCTCAGCAAAATTCAGCTTGTTCGTATAATTTTTAAAGATTCAATGGCATTTTCGTCTATGACGACTGGAGTAATAGTGAAAAATATCTAATAGACAGGCATAGAATAAAAAAAGCACAATATTTAAATATGATTAGATACTATAGTTCTAAGCTTCTACCGCATGTACCTAGTACATACACGTGACCTTTTATATAGTTTTTTACTTTTATTGATTCGAACGATATTATTACGTGTACCTATATTGTAAATTCAACTTATTTCAAATGTATAAAAATGAACTTATTTGGCAATAGGAATAGGAAATAGGAAAAATATTTTAAATTCGATAAAATAGGTAATGATTCAAGTGGATTCGAGTGATTAAGAAATTTTTATAGACGATAGTGGCATTGATAAAGTTGTGGCTATCCAGCAATGGGAAGAGGGTTCTGAGTCAGAATAAAATGCGATTGAATTTGGGGACGAAGATGACATTGAAAACTAACAATTTTGGCTTTATGAAGCATTTAATTAAGAGAAAAAAAGATTGAAGAAATTGTTTTCTTGAAAATTACATAAAACTTAATTATACCAATACAATGACAAAATTTAATATAAATTTTTATTTTTAAGCTAGGTACCTACCGACATTGAATTTATGTTAAAATTATTAAATTTGAATTTTACTTAGTTTGAATTCTTAAATACCTTTATAGCAACAGAAATATCGAGATTTTTACTTCTATATTAATTTTCTTGTCTTTAAGAATAGCTCTATGTAGATTTTAATAAATATTATACTTAGGTGTATTAATATTATTTTCAAATATTGCTTAAAATATTATAACTAAAGACGCGTATGTCGGATATGCGTTCGACTGTTTTAGTTATTTTGGTGGAAGCATCTATGGAAAGGTTAAAGGAAGAGTTTGACAAAAAAAAAAGAAATTAAACTAACAGATACAGTAATAGCAGCAGTCACCAAAATAACAAAAGAGGAACTTGCTTAAGCACTTCAAAAACTAAAGAAAGGTAAATACATTGGGTCAGATGATATCCCCAGATAGTGTTGAAGAGAGACAGAAACAAATTGGCCAACCGATTTCTTATAGAATTATGGTAGCAGGATAATTTCAAGATGAAGAATTAGTATATGTTTACACAAACAAAGATGTTTAATAATGCACAAACTATAGGGCCATAAAACTACTCAGTCATAATATGAAAATATAGGAGACACCAATTGATGGACACAGGATATATGAAAAAATTAAATACTTGAAAATCGGTTTGGATTTATGTATTGCAAATCAATAACATATCTAATTTTCATTACTTTCATCTGATGGAAAAATAGATAAAAAGTAACAAACTCTCATATGGTATTCATTGATCTTGAATATGCATATTTATCATAAAGAAGAGTGATCAATTTCAAGTTAAAGTAGAATTACATTAGGGCTTAGTGCTTAGTCCCTGTTTATTCTCATTCTTTTTGGATCACATTACATTCCTTGAGGCTTAAAGCATGCTAATGATGTAGTATTACTGGAAAATACTGGAACAGTTAAAGCAACCTCTCAACGAAAAGGATTTAAAACTTAGTGACAAAAATGAGATATACCTAGAATGTTCATATGAAGATTGAGTTACTGCTACAAATAAGATGATACTTTGGATGGTAAAATTCTTGTGCTTATAATAGCTTTGAATATATAGAATTTGTATTACAGGATAATGTAGGAATAGTAAAAACAGTGCACACATTTTGTGAAATTTAAATACTGTCAAAAGACCAGCTACAAACTGAATGTTATATAAATAAAAAGAAATAAGCATAGGTTATGATGGATATAAATATTCTACATGATACACTGCTGCAATACAGTGGCCTTTCCCCCAGTGCGACAGAGAAAACTGATGCAAAGCAATCCCTGCCTCAATGTCTGATGGGCACAGTTTATCGATCACTTGATCTTCTCTATGGTCATTTAGATCATGTGGTCAATAAACCTGGCAAGTTAGAAAGAGATGCAGGGACTGCTTTGTGTCAATTTTCTGTTATATGTCTATGGTTAAATGCTGAAATAATAATCATCCAATAGGAAGTATACAGAGAAAGACCAAAGAAGGCTTGGTGGGAGATGCTTATTTAAAACATGTGTGTTAATGATATTTTTTTACCCACAATATAGTTATGGAAAAATATAATAATTATGGTCAATCCTGCATAAGGATAAAAGCAAAGATGATAATGATGTTAAATTAAAAAAAAACAAATATTGGTTAAATTTATTTTCAAATTTGATAACTAAAACAGGTACAATATCATTTGAAATGAGAAAATAAATAAAATACATCTTTTGACTTAGTCACTATGAGTCTTTTTCAGAATTCAAATCATTTGAACTCTGAGATTTTCTTCTTTGTTTTAATGATTCAACTAGCTTTTTAATATATGGATGATTAAACTTCCCCTCTGTAGCATCAAAGAATTCTTGAAGTTTTCTTGGTGTGCCATCTCTACTTTCATAATGAGCAGCTGTGAAAAGCATATCAAATCTATCTAGATCCTTCACAAATTTTGCTTCCTGTGTTTCTTTGGCTTCATACTCCTTATAAAGAGAGTATATTAAAGTGCCTACCTCACTACCAACATAACTTGTTACCTCTTTCATGGCCTCATCTTCCATTTGATGTTTTTTTTCCTCGGTGATATTATCATGGGGGGTAATATCTCCTACTATACATTCAGCCAAATCATGAACTAAAGCTAGTTGTAGACATTTGAATCTATCCAACTTTGATTCATTTCCCAGTAGAAAGGTCATTATTCCCATGGCATACATATGTCCAGCAATTTGTTCGTGATTATTAACATGACAAAGTTCCCAACCTCTACGACTACTGTGCTTTAGTGTATTAATGAGGTCTAAAAACTTCAAAACATCCTCAGGATTTAAAGATTCCATTTCTCGTTTCGGATTATTGATGGCCTACAATAGTTATTCTCTGATTCTCTACTGACTTTACAGTAAAATTACAGACTTAAATACACCCTAAAACAGCCAAATCGAAACTTAACCTATCATTTTTATGTTATCATTTTTCCGTTATTTGAACTACTTTCACATTTAATATTTGACGTATAGCGAGAGAAGGTAAGGCCACAGAATAATAAACAAACAGAATACCCACTCTCCACGGAAAATTAAGTACGCGCATCTCCTCCGCGCAGACGTTCCGCCATGTTTTAGGAGGATTTTAAAGAAATTAGTGTTGTTTATGTGGTGTGCATGGAAAAATTAACCAGGTTTATTTGACTTACGGCAATCATAGACATACTATACAAGTATATTAACATTGTTAAATATAATAACATAAATATAATATAATTAAACATAAATATAAACAATTACATAACCACACAAATCATATGTCTGTGTCCCACGGTTCCTAGACTTTCTAGGAACCGTGTCTGTGTCCTCCTAAAACATGGCGCGCGTGCTGAAAAACTTCAAAGGCGGCATCTGAGAGTGGCCCTTCTGATTGTTTATTATTCTGTGGTAAGGCCACAGAACAATGCAAGGCCAACGAGAAAGACATGCCATGGCCCGACATCCATTTCGTGCAGTCCAGTGATGTGCCAGTGATCAACTTCGTCCAATGCCACATAATATATGACAATCAGAATGCCCAAATCTCAGATGCCGCTTTTAAAGTGTGTCAGCACGGGATCGTCATATTTTAAACGGAAACAGACTAGGATCGAAATATTTGTATGTGACAAGCTACGACAGAAGTGTAATTTAAATTTTTGAAGTTATACTACTATACACGCGTTCGACGTTGTAAATTTGTACGGGAGTGAATCAGTAAAATCATTACAGATGTAAGATATAGGTAAGAGAGACAGAAGATATATTTTCTTACTCCTTCTCTCTCGAGAATAAAAATGTTGCTTTTGTAAATATATTTAATATTTATTAATATTATTATTATTTTTTCATTCTGTCCAGATTTGTTTTGAGCCTCGTTAGGCATGTTAAATTATAAATTAAAATTTGTAAATATCTAAAGAAAGTTCAAATGTGTACACAAGAAACGACAATTAAATTTTGTATCTGTCAATGTCAATGTGACAGTTGTATCACGAAACAATATTTTTATTTTATTAGGGAGTTAAAGTGCAGGTAACACGTAAACGTTAACACTAACGTAACACTGTTACCGTAAAGAAATTACGTTTACGGCCACTATACGTTTTATTATAGAAAAGTTTATAAAATTTTATAATTTATAAACAGATAACACAAAATCATTCACAAAATGATTTTAACTTTATCCCATAAAATATAATTCATTAAATATCTATCACCGAATAATTAAATTTTTTTATGAACTTTTTTTTCTCTTGGCTGGGATTCTTTTTTCGTTGATAACATGGCAACATTGTATACTGAAATGTTTTCCTAATCATTTGCATATTTCAATACAAAAACAAAAATAATCTTTAGTAATTAAGTAGAATTTAAAAAGTTATTGTATGTGTTACTATTTATTGCTGTTATTGTCATTTTGATGTTGTAATTTTAACTACTGTTTTTATAGTTAGTAACTTTAGTTCATAATGGAAGATGTACTCTCTTTTGGTTTAAAGCAGTTAAAAGTTTCAGTTTTAAATAAATTAGATCATATTAATTGCTCTACCAATAGATATATTCCAACTGAAAAGCCTCCTAGAAAAAATCAAGTGGGGATTACTATCCCAAAGGATAATTTAAAACAGAGTAGTCCTCAATCCAAGCAATCAGAAATTCAGTTTCAAGGCTTATTGGATGTTTTCGAACACAATAGAAGACAAGAAGTAGTAAATAAGGTACAAGCCCGTTTAAAGAAATTTGAGGACTTTACAGTACAACAAGAGTTAAATAAAAAAGAACAATGGTTTAAAAAACAGCAAGAGTTTGTTGAAGACTTACAACAACAAGAAAAGAATATAAATCAAGCTCTTCAAGAATATGATAAGAACTCTTCCCATTCGCAAGCACAATTGGCTTTGTACTATAAAGATTTAGAATTAAAGAGGCAAGCACAAGAAAATGAAATTAAGAGAAGAGAATATGAAAAACAACTCCTCTATAAATGCATAGATAAAATTAAGGTATGTAGATACTTTTTTCTCAGATAAGATATACACAAAGCATTGTATTGATAAGTATTATTGTTATATTTTTCTACAATTAGGTATATATTGAAAACATATTTGTGTTAATAAATGTAAATAATGCATTTTATGTTAAAATTGTGTAATTCAAACAAATCTTCAGCCACAAATTAATGTCACTATACTCTATTCAGTATTTTTAATTTCTTGACATCTGTATCAACATTTCAATATTCTGTCTACTAGAAATATCACATTAAACATGAGTAAAGATCTTGTCATTACTAATCTTCATTCTCCATATTTGTCCCTATATTGGACTTATATTGTTCTATTCTTACTTACATTGTTAACTATATCAAATGTATACGTTAACTTGGCCCTTCTAGCTTAAAGTATTCAACTAGCAGGTTTTCAACATGATTATCACTTATTATATCTTGTCAAACTGACAAAAATAATATTTACGTTTTATTCAACTTCCAACTGGATCCATATGGGAAAAACTCTGACATCAGTTCCAGATAAGTTAAGGTTTATTTTTACAGTAAGCACCATAATTGATGATTTCTGGCTTCTTACAACAATAATTTAATATTAAACATCTTATTCAGGTATAGTATAGTATACGGCCAATAATTGTTCATACTATTTGGAGGATGTGCATAGATGGGATCCTTGTCTTGCTCTTCTTATTATTGCACTGACATTAGTCTTCTACACTAGTTTCTTATGCCGTTGAACCATAAGTATATCGCTTGCTGAGAACATTAGTGACATAACTCAAAAATTGTAGTTTGTAGTAAATGGCGTTTAAAGTTTTAGAGGAAATACTGTAAGCTGTCAGTTCATAGAATTCAATTATTGTTAGCTACTGAAATTGGTATTTTTTACTATTTTTTTTTTGTAAGTTCCGTCATTATTGCATTAAAGTATGAGTAAGTTTTACAATTCTGTGAGGTACTAGTGACATATTAATTTAGTAATTTGGATGTATCTTATTAAAACCATGCTAAAATAACTTTGGTTACACAAAAATTATTCAAGTTATGTCAAATGTTATAAATAAATCCAAGACATTTCATCTAATTTTTATTTAAAAACTTTGAGGTATACAAAATCAAAACTGAAAACGAAAAATTCAAAATGAAAGAGAATTCTAGGAAGGAATATTTTTCTGTGTTCTTATAATTCAAGGCATTGACGAACTGAGCATGAATAGGTGGTAACAATTTATTCTGGATGAGGCTTTGCAGGTCATCATACTTTTTCTTACTAATTTTAACAGTATCCAAATATGCTGGGGATAGATCATAATTTTGTAGATGAGTTATTCCGCTCCCTGTTTTATTATTTATAATTATAACTTCCTTAAATTCTGTGCTAGTATAAGAATTTTTGTAAAAATACTGGTCTAGGTAATTTTTGTCTACTTTGGTCATAACTATATCATTAAAATTAAACTTTTGCCCCTTATTTATTTAAATTAAATGGCTTATTAGTATAATAGGATGTCATTTGTTTTTACTCAACAAACTCATTATGAGCCATTTCATTGACTTGGGACCAGATTTTCAAGCTCTTTTAATGGAATTTTCAGTTAAGGAAATACTACTTTCACCTTCGTTTTGACTGTGTCAAACTAACCACCCACAAAAAAGTGGTTACAACAAATTTATTTTTGCCTTGACCGCCACAGTTATCTTAAAAGAAGACTCCTTCCAAGTTTTCAGACAGCTCAATTGGCTGTTTTTCTTAAATATTTAAGCAGGCAAGAACCTATTTCAATACATCCACGATTCCCCTCTCCTTCATGTCAAATTTAGCACTCTACAGGACGCAGTCCTTTATGTTAAAGGGTACAAATTGTGAAATTTAGCAATTTAAACGAGACTTCACTTTTAGGAAGAGGTAGAGCTGCTTGTAAATCGAAACAAGCTATGTGAAATAAGTTAACAATATTGGAATTTTACCAATATTGCTTTTGTCTGCCTTTTTTTCTCTTCTTAAGTTCTTTTCTTGTATATGAGATTAATAATCATTTTAAGGGCATTTTTACCCTCTATATTAGAATTCTCCTAAGTTGTACATGTAAGGCACTGTTATACTCTTAGGATTAGGATTATTACTCTTAGGATTATGAAATGACATGTTGATAATTGAAGATATACCTATACATAGACAACTTTCCATGATCCTTTCCATTATCATTACACCACTGAACATAATCACGGTACAGATCAGTTACTATCTTGCCTCCATCGATATATTTTTTCTGAGTATCTGCTCTTGTGTAATGACTCTCTACTGCAGGTATTGACAACAGATGTTCGTGCTTACCATTTTTTAATTTGTCACCTTATTTTTACCTGTTTTACCCCTCTTCTCACTTAAGAAAAATCCGTCAGGTTTTTTGAAACTGTGGTTCTAATGAATCTTTCACTGATTCCTAACGTTGAGATAAAATATTTTTGTGAAACTTGATGAGGTTCGTCTTGTGTTGTAAAGTAGTAAACTTTATTTAGTCCTCGCGACCTCGTGTTACTAGATACTGCTTAGATGTATTTCTTTTGAATATGACACATGCAGTTCATTACATAAGATCTTTGACTGTGTAAATCTGCCAATCCCTAAAACTTGTCAAATAACGAGTTTCTCTCTTCACTTTTGTGAATTTTTCAATTTTGTGGTACACTTATGTATACACCTTGTATTACAGGGACGAAGAGCCTTTCTTGCAGTAATTAATTTACCCTCTGACAGTGTTGTATATTCCTTACCAGTGTTTCTCAGTCTCTTGCAGGTATTCCTTGTCCAATGTGCAGGATTTCTAATTCTCTTTCTTGACTTAGTTTTAGGACTTACTTCCATAACATTTGTTGATTCCATACTAGCAGACTGTCTAATCGGAATGTCATCATTATCATCTGCTGAAGCCGACTCATCATTACTAGGAGTGTAATTGCGATCATTGTCACTGTCATCAATTGGCTACGAACAGGTAGAATATGTCGACGAACAGGTAGAAGATCTCGACGAATAGGTAGACGATACTGATGAAACAGATGATGTATTTTCAGTGTTTATCGTGTTCACAATGTCCATATGCATTACCTTAAAAAAATGCTTTAATTAGTTGGGTACAAAAAGGGCATTTTTAGTTCTTAATTTAGTTATAAATAAGTATTTGATTTACCTAAAGTTTCATCAGAATGCCTCTTTAACAGATGTTTGCAGTGAGTGTGTCCCTGACTGGAGCTAAGTGTATTGTTGTCAAGGATTCAATTAGTTGGTCCTTGTTCATTACCTTGTACGTGTTGTAAGCTGAAGAAATATTTAAAATACCAGGAAAAGTATAATGTAGGACATAGGTCTATTACTGTAACTTGCAATAACGAAAGTTTTAAAATCACAAATAATACTACTAATAGTATACTAGTAATAACTGATTAGTTTTTCACGCACTACTGACATAAAGCGAGAATTTGTATTTCATAGGTTAAAAAATAATGCCGCAAGTTAGTAGTAGATGTCTAGCGCAAACTGACTTGTGCCACTAATACATGCAGTGTCAGAGCTAAATGTTACAGAACATTATTGACATATAGCCTCATCTAGTGGTTTATAGTACAATTATACTTCCGTCAATAATGCATAATATCAAGATGAATATTAGGAAACTATCTGATAGGTCAAGTCAGAATTGGCAATTTTTGAGTTAGTCACTAGTTAGTTCTCAGCAAGCGATATATACATTTGTATGGGCTTTAATCATTGCTTTTGATATTACATTTCAGATTTTTTTTCTCTTTTGGCATGGACAAATATATAATTAAATTATCACTATAGTGGAAGGTTACATTCTTGGATCAAGTTTCTTACCTAAGTAGTAAGGTGGTGGATGTGTTGAAGGTTTCCTTTGAGTATATTATATAGTTGGAAATTCTTAAAGGACATTCAGCTGCAATGTATTTGTCACATACTGGGCTGGCTCTGGTTCCCTACTGGTATCAGGATTTGTTAAAAATTCCATGGCCAAACTCATATTCTTGAACCATGAGTGATTAATGTTGTTTGCAAACAGGTCCACTTTAACACAAACTTTACTTTAACTTGCAATTTTGTCCCTTAAGATGACATTCAAGGGGTTATATTTGTCCTCTATAGGTTTATAAGGTCTTTTTATTTTTATGACTATGTTTCAGTTACATAGGTATAGTTAAACAGCAGTAGGGACAAAGCGCAGCCCTCTCTCATGCATTAACTTATTTTCACTTGTTTTATATACAGACTGTTGTTAATTCTTAATTCTGCCTTTTGATTACAGCACAGTTGTTTCATCATCTTCATTTTTGTCATCATCTTTATTTTTATTATCTAAACTAAACCAATCTCCAAAAAAGTACTTCTTGTGTTCTTAATCGGTTTTTGAACCAAATTAGTGTCCTTCATCCTCTCCTCACATCTATTATCAATCAACCAGTGATTTATATTTAGGAACTTGACTTATTATTAGACTTGACTTAGAATTGTGTTATTATTTTTGATGTGTATGCTATTATCTCCTTGATTCTCTCTACTGCGTGAAGTAGTGATTAAGGTAAGTCTGTGTCAGTATTAAAATCCAAGTTATGATTGTCAAAGAACATATCTTCTACATAGGTTAGCTAGAGTTTACAATGTTTACATAGTTCTTTGTTATTGTATAATTTTTGATAAGTTTGTTTTCATGATAAGTTTTTCATAGGATTTTTACATAAGTTGACATAGTCACACTTTGAAATTAAATGTTCTGTTCTATTTTAATTATCCATTTCCTTTTTTGGTCTCCCTTATTTTCTATTTCTTTGTATTCTATTTCATTACTTTTTAAATTTTTGTTCACTTCATCATGTCTAGAATTTCCTACACCAAGAGCTAGTGCACCTTTCGAGTAACAGTATGTCTGTAGGGCTAGAAATTTTTAAAGTGATGAATTATAACATGCTAAGTAACAGTAACAGTAACCATCACCTGGCACACATCAGGTTAAATGAGCACAAGTACCTATAACTTGAATATTTAGAATTTTTAATGCAGTTATACTATTTAATTGAAATCTAAGTTCATTAAGTGAAACTGATTTAGGTGGAACTGTCCTGAAAGTTCTACGTAAATTTAGTTGTGATATCGTAAGTATTTGAGGCGCTGGATGAGATTGGATGCAGGAACCTTGTTGCCTTTGTTTTTTGGCTCTCTTGTCTTTCCGAAGATATCTGACTACCTTCCACAGAATGACAATCAACATAATGAATAGTCACTAGTTATGTGGTAAAATGAGGAATCCACTGATGGTTGGCAATGGTTTTCCACTTGCGTTCCACGTCTATATTTGGCAACTCACCTTCCCGAATGTCTATATTATGTCGAGGAATGTTAATCTGTTTTATTCTTGGCCTCTGCATAAGCTCTTTAATGGGACTGACAGGAGTCTTTAAGTAACTTCCAGTTGCTGTTTCCAATCCATTACTGGATGCGAGTTAGGTTATGTCCCGGGTCTGAGCAACACATTGTGGCAACAGCTTTATAAAACTTGTTTGATTTATTGTATGTTCAGATCGAGAACCATCATACATTATATCTAAATTTATAGCGTATGGTGGAATGACTAGCCAGAGGTTTGGTGTGCCCATCTTCAACCAACTGGCTTCCTTTATTATGTATTCTATCATATTGAAGGTGCTGTTGGAAGTTCAATTATATAATTCATTTAAGATACATATTAATGATTGTCATAGGTGAACATGCCAACTCTCCTTTGTTTAACTCTATACACATTTCTTTATCTTCATATGTCACTTCAAAATAGTGTAAATTATTATAATCTACTGTCCACTTGTCACAGACAACAGAAGAGCTGTGCCTCTCAGTAGGTTGTAACTGGTGTTGTCAGTTATTAGGAATTAGCCAATAATGACGATGTCTCCTTCTTTATTTTGTACAACTGTATCTATTATTGGTTGCCTTCCGATATTTACTCCTTGTGGAAGGAACTTTGTTGCATTGAACATTGTAACATAATTGACTCTATTATTCCGGGTTTTATAATATCTATGAAGTATTCATGATTGTAATGAAGGTTTAATATTTTTTTTTGTATGTGTTCGTATATTCTCTTGGATATTCCAATGCACGGTCATAGGCCGCTTCCACTTTCAGTCGTATGTACTCTTTTTCTAATATGTCAGTTCTATATGAGACACATTTCCTTGCTTCCTTTTATCAGTGCTTCTCTGAATTCTGAAAATTATGATTAATGTGAGATCACAAATTAATGGACTAATTTGTGATTGAACACTCTGCCATCTAAAGGCTTATTTCCGCGCCTACTTTTTTGCCAATGTTTTTTTCTTCAAATCTATTTAATTCATAATTTTTTAAATGGCATTTTGTTTACTTACCAAGCTACTTTTGGACGACATTATATACGAAATTCCCACAACGATAACTTATGGCTGAGGAAAATCCACATGTAATCTTTAAAACTCATTTTCAGCATCAGTTCTTAGTATGTGTATACCTTGGAGTAATTGATGATCATTTAATCTGTTCATATTTCGTCTCTCAATGACTAACAGGCAAATCTTACCTTAGTTTCCTACAGAAATAGTTACCTATTCTTTTTAAAGAAATTCCTCTACAGCTAGATAACACTTAATGGTTCATGCATGATGGTGCACCAACCTATTTTAGTATTGATGTATGTAATCAATTAGATACAGTATATCTAAATCGTTAGATAGGTATAAATAGTTATTCCAGTCCCGTCAAAAATATTGATGACTTAAAAAATCGAATTATAGCCAGCAGTGAGAATAAGAAAGGCATGAATACTTGCGCAAATACGACAATCAATGAGGTGAAGAGTTGAATCTTGTGTCACATCTAACTGATATCATTTTGACCATTTTTTGTAGCTTTGCGCCTATTAAAAAATTGTAATAGTGTTACTTTCAATTATTGCTCTGGTTTAATGTTATTGTGTTAGTGATAGTTCTTGATAATATACTAAAGAAATGAAAAAATAGGCGTTAAGATTGTTTTATGTTTTTTGCATAAAAATGGAGCCTTATATGAGAAATAAGTAAAAGATCACCAATTGAACGATGAATTAAAAAAAAAGATAAGATGCATATTAGTTTTTTCTTAAAAAAAAAAAAAAATCAGACCCAAAAACACCTCGTATCTCGGAAACGAAGCATTTGCGGAAATACATTTATATGGCAAACTGTTCTTATTTTTTATGCAAAATCACCCCGTAAAGCCTGTTGGACTTATTTACTAATACCCTGTATATGACACACCTTTCGGTTCATCTGCCAGGTATTTGTGCTCATCGAAAACGCCTGCCATTTTTTTAACTTCACAATGAATTGAATGAATGGACAAAATCGTATAAAAATTTCAGCAACAAGTTTTTTTTTAATTTCATTCATTTCATCAAATTGATGTCGTGCCACATGCCATGACCCGTCAATATAAAAAGTTATAGCCTTACAGACATACCGTTATTTGAAGGGTCCACTAGCTCTTGGACTATAAGTAAAATTAATCAATTCTTATGTCCTTTTTTGTAAAATTTCACGGTGGCTTGTTTTTGCCGGTGTGTATAAATTATTTATGTTTATAATTTTGATAGTAAATAAAATAAATTTTAACTAATTGGTCTTACCTTTTTTAGAAATTACAGCCAGAATTTTCGGGTCTTTACGAGAAGATCTTAAAAACTATCAAACGATGTCAGAAAATCGAAAATTTGAAGACTCAGCTCACAGAAGAATTTCAGTTACTAAACTCCTTGCCATCTAGCTTTGATGAAATAATTAAAAGATGTAAAAATGCTAAAGTAACAGAGGATGATGTTAAAAACGCTCAAGATATGTTTATACAATTAGAAAATATAGAAAGAAAAATAAATGAAACTGTGGATAGTATAAACAAGATTAACGAACAAGCAAATATTCCCAAACCAACTCCTTTGCCAGTTGAATCTAAACCGCTTGTTGCAACCATTAAACCTGTTGCCAAAAGTCAGTCTGCTGCAAGTATAGAAAAATATATAAATTTGGACAATTTTCATATATATTCCGAATTGATGGACTTTCTTGATAAATATACAGAAAGTATTAAGAATTTAGAAAATGATGTTACTCAAAAACAGTTTGTGCAGGATTGTAAAAAAGCCATAAATATTCCAGTAAATTCATTGTCAGGCGTAAACGCTGAACATGTGTTAGACAAATTTAACAAACTATTTAGGTTGCTAAAAGGGCAGGATAATATTATAGCTGATAAGAGAATTAATGCTTCCATTCATCCACAAGGTATCCAGTTTTGTAAAAATTTACTAGCGAAGAGATTTGTTCTTCAGAGTGATTTAATAATTTCTAGTAACTCTGAATCTGCTTTTTGTTATGCTACTGTGATTGTTTCTTTATGGAACGAATTCCCAGACTTTGGTAAATTAATTTTAGCCTACTTTTACAAGGTGTGTCCTTATTTGGTACCCTATAATGTTCCCAGGCAAGAGGGGGAATCTGATGAAGAATATTACCAGAGGCAGGGGTATCAATATAGTAATGGACAAATAGAGAAGCAAGATAAATATTTAAAAAGAATGACAGGTAATTGAAGTGTATATAGCGTAGTTTATATATATATATATATATATATATATATATATATATATATATATATATATATATATATATATATATATATATATATATAAATCGACTCACTTGATGAATTGTAGTTTATGCTTAGTAATTTTGTGTTACTTTTAATTAAAATAACCATGCAAAAAATATTGTCTATTATAGAATTTCCAAAAAGTAATTGTTTTATGCAAATAGTCAACGTGTTGTAAAATTTGTCTACTTCTGTATGGCATAGGGAATGCAGCAAACATTGTAACGGGCATCTTCCACCCCATTTAGAATGAATTTGCGGGTGTTCGTCCCAGTCGCTTTTCAAACGTTGACGTGTGTGTACACTTCGAAATGCAATAGGTGAATATTTTACAAATGGATATTTCACCAGTGAAGGCGGCTCAGGTAAATGACTTATTACGATAGGGCTATAGTCAGAGGACTGTCACCCGTCGCCTACTTATGACGCAGTTTGCAGTCTCAAGGGCTTACCGTCGATGCCAGAAGAATCGGCACGCGACAGGAGTTGAGTTTAAATAATCCTTAAAGAATGTACGAGGTGTCACTCAGTGGACTCTGGAAAATACTCTTAATTATTTTCTCCTGATGAAGCTAACGAAAAATTAGAGAAATTTACCGACAATATCTGCTACGAATCAACCACTAGGGTAATTCGTGTAAAAGAAGTAGACCAAACAAGCTGCAGATGGATAGACTGCATGCTGAGGAGCCATGTGATATACGCAATATTACTGGGGTATACAGTGTCAGCACAGTTAGCGAGAAGCTGCTCGCAGGATAGAGTTACCACTGGTTGTCTGCAAGGGGAGTTTTATTTCCTCTCTTGTGGAATCTGGTAATGGATGGGCTAATAGCTAAACTTTTTGCGGGTTCGGATTTTATCCATATAAGATCCACGGCAAATGTAATGGCACAGTCAGGGATATAACGCAACAGGCTCTGAAAGCTCATTTAGTTACACGGAAGAGATTTAGAATGGACATTAAATGTAGGGCTTAACAAGTCCCCAGATATGAAATTTACCTGGAGGAATTTAGAGGGATTGGATCCTCTAAATGATAATCATCTAAATCTGGTGAGTGAAGTAAGGTATCTTGGGGTAATACTAGACTCGAAGCTTATAGCAGATAGAACTAATTACCAAAAGAGGTCACTGCGTTAATGGTAACCAGACGCACTCGTGGAAAAATGTGGGATTTAAAACCAGACATGCGATGTTGGATCTATAAAGGGGTTAAACCAACAATTACATATGCATCAGTGATATGCTGGTTAAAAGTGCAGAAAAAAGTGCTATCTTCAAACTTAGCAAAGTCTTAGTAAAGACTTGCTTGCTTGCCTTGAAATCACAGGGGCTCCAAGTGGCACACCAACGGCAGCTATGGAGGCCCCACTGAACCTCTCTCCTTTACCATTAGTTATAAGGTGGAGACGAGGATGGGATATTATAAACTAGGAGAAAACCTGAGCAACTTATAGGTTAGATCAAGACATGGTAAAATCATAAGTTAAATCAGGAATACCGAGTTTATGATGATTTCTGATAATATGGTCCCAAATATAGGCTTAAAGTATCCTAACAAGTGCCTACGAGAGGGATGGTCAAAGGAAACACTTAACCCAGATTTCAGGGTTTTACCTGGTATACAAACGTTCTAAAACTGCAGAAATTTTGGGTGCCGGAATATTCAGTAGTGGTGGAAATTTAAAAATTTGTATTCCACTAGAAAAATATACCCTTTTATTTCAAGAAGATATTTGTTCAATCTTGCACTATACAAGAGAAATTAACATGAGGGCCTTCGAACTGAAGCGCATCAATATATGCACAGATAGCCAAGCAGTCATCGGGGCTCTTAGAAGCCCTAAAGTAGACTCCTAGCTAGTGTGGGAATGCCGAGACAAACTCAACAGATTGGCGGAACATCACACAAGTATGGGTTTGAGGTTACCGGAGAATATACAGCAATAAACGTGCTGACTGGTGAACTGGACACAATGGGATCAGCTACAAAATACGAAGGCAACATAACTCTCACTGCGAAAACATATCCGGTCAAACACATGGCAAAGTGTATATTGGAAGGACAAATGCTTATAGAGGTGAAGTATTGCGGAAAAAAAGCAGGCATCAGCTCAGAGTCATAATAGGCTTCCCTATTGGACAAGTGCCAGTCAAGAGCTACCTGCATACACCTGAACTGTTTCTTGGAGACTTAAGCCGGAGTCTCTGTAGAAGAGGATCTGAAACAGTGAACCATATCTCGCATGACTTCGAATCATTAAATTAATAAAACTTCTCCCAAACTCTACCTTATCGGATATTAGATATCACCTCATAAAAATTTATATTTAGCACATTATTACACGCAGTCAAAACATAGACTCAGCAGTAAATAGTATGGGACGACTGAGCTGCCAAAAAAGATGGTGCAGTAATTTAAACAATTTAGAAGGCTAATATTGAAGCGCAAACAAGCTTTAAAGCCTACATATAAGAAGGAAGAAGAAGAGGCAGAGCAGTTGGACCAAGACATATCCGAACACACGTAGAAAACCATTGCCAACCTTCAATGGATTCCTCATTTAACCACAGGACTAGTGATTATATTCATTGTTATGTTGATTGTCATTATGTGGAAGGTAGTCAGATCTCTTCGGAATGCTAAGAGAGCCAAAAAACAAAGGCATCAAGGTTCCTGCATTTAACCTCATCCAGAGCCTCGAAGACATACGATATCACAACCAAATTTATGTAGAACTTTCGGAAAATTCCCACCTAGATCAGTTACACTTAATGAACTTAAATATGAATTAAATAGTTTAACTGAATCATCAATTCTAAACATTCAAGTTATAGGTAGCTCTACTCGGGTGAGATAATAATTCAAAAACCGAGTAAATTAGTATTATGTTATGAAGTTTTGTGATTATTTTAAACTATTAATATTATTTTATATTTGTATTTAGATATTTTCTATTGGTCGTCTGGTTCTTATCGAGTAGCCAATATGTTCAATCACAAATTATTTTATTAATTTGTAATATCACATTAATCTAGTGATTCTCAACCTGTGGGGCGCGCCCCCCTAGGGGGGCGCGTTATTATTAATAGTGGGCGTAAGCCTATTCGAAAAAAACATCAACAACATTGAATAATTTACTAAAATTAAAGCAAAACAAAATTCTTACAAAATAAAAAATAAAATACACATGAACACTGATATAACAGGTATAATTATAAAGAGCACTGAACACTAAATTATGAACAAGTTTAATAATAAATCAGTGACTTCCTTAAGCTTGTCTTGTAGAGCAAAGTTTATCAAAACGGGGTGTAATATTAGAAATAGACGTTCTCAGTTCTTTTTCTATATTTAGCTGCGATCTATATTTGGTCTTCAAAGCAGCCACCGCAGAAAATCCTGTTTCGCAAAGGTAGGATGTTGAAAACGGCAATAGTATACGGAACGATTTGGTTTTCAACGCAGAAAACTCATCATTTACTCCTGCCCAAAATTCAAAAAGGGATTTATTATTAAACTGTTTCTTGTTTTTATCATTTGCCGTGAAGTCAATGAAGGTTTCTTCTTCGGCAGAAGAGAGCCCTTCCGGTGTAATTTGGAACGGATTCCTAACCCACTCGTAACTACGCATTAATTTGTCGTCGGCAAAAAAAATATCTTTCAAAATTTTTAGTCAGCATCGCCAAATGATTTTCAATCGTTACAAAAACAACTTTCATGTGTTGTTCTGCAACCTTCTAAGTTTTAATACATTTATCCACATTTGCAAGCATTTCTAGGTTTTTTTGTTTTAAATTTCTGCTCCACAATTCCAATTTTTTACAAAAACCAATAATTTATCACTCTGATCCAATATACGTGTATTATCTCTTTGAAGCTGAATGTTCAAAATATTTAGTTTCTCGAATATGTCAACCAAGTAGCTCAATTTCAGAAAAATAGCGATTTCATGTCTTAATTCAAAAACACGTCGTAAAAATTTCCCACGTGATAACCATCTTGACTCACAATAAAATAATAATGCTGAATGTAATGCACCCATGTCTTTACAAAGTGTATAAAAGATTCTGGTCTTCAAACTTCTCATTTTTATGTAATTAACTACTGTTACAACCGTTGTTAGCACAATATTTAGGCCAGGAGACATTTCTTTGGAAGCCAGAGCTTCTCTGTGGATCATACAGTGTGTTCATATACACATTGGAGACTTTTGTTTCACAAGCGCTTGTAGACTATGAAATTTTCCGGACATTGCACGAGCACCATCTGTGCATATTCCGACGCAATTCTTCCACTCTATATTTGCTTCATTTAAATAATCGTTTAAGATAGCAAATAATGCGAACGACGTTGCTTTCAGTTCTATTGGTTTGCAAAAAAGTAGTTCTACTAATGATATGCCATCACAAAATCGAACGTAGGCAATAAAATGAGCATCTTTATTGCTATCTGTTGCCTCATCAAGCTGAATCGAAAACAGCTTGTCGCGCAACTTCCCGAGCAGCTGATCCTGTACATCTTCAGCTATATCACAAATTCGACGGGCAAGAATATCATTTGATAGAGGTATAGACTCCCAATTTTTTGGCAAAATTATCTCCAACATAGTTTCTACAATTTGAATTGCAGCTGGCAAAATATTCTCTTCACCAGTGTGAGGCTTTTTACATCTAGCTATTTGATGGGAGGTTTTATAAGAGGCAAGTAAAGCTTTTTCATTCACAGTCAAAGTTTTTTTAAAAAAATGATTTTTGTTTTTCATGTGATTTTAATTTTAACGCGAAGAATTCTCGGGGTTGATTAATGCACTCACTATAAAGCGTTTCCAAATGTCTTTTAAGTTTATTTGGTTTCATGCTGTCGGCTACTAAAATTTTTGGGCAAATGATACATAGAGGCCGTTCTTCTTCATTTACTTCAGTAAACGTAAACTCAAAATTTAAGTATTCTTGAGAATATTTTCTTGATTTTATTTTTGGAACCACTCTCGCCTGTACACTTGTTGATGCTTCACTAGTATCGAATGCTCGCTTACGCCCAGTTAAAAATTTATCCATAATTTTGTAGAAATTTAAGTATATTTACGTACTGCTTGAAATATTTTAATACTGTGAACTGCAATTAATACACGAAAGCTACAACATAAACATTCACAATAAATTTAACAGGTGCAGAAGGACTGACTGGACTGACTAAACTGATTCGACTAAGGTCATATCAATAAATTTACTTATTCTCGGTAATTTGGTAAAGGTTTTACTGTAAGTTTAGCGCAAGGGCGGATCCAGAGAGACTGGCTAAAAAATGCGACAAATAAATATACTTTAATAACGCTATCAATCAATAAGTTTTATTGTCTTTATGGCATTCAAGTGTGTCAAAAGTGCCTTAAAAAAAATTCGATAAACCGAAAAAAGTTCATGTACCACCATCCCCCTGAAAATCGGTCCTGGATTCGTATACTTTTATTGTATGAGGGGGGGCGCGGTGAAAATAATTATATAAAATTGGGTCGTAACTGGTAAAAGGTTGAGAAACGCTGCATTAATCTTTATTTCCTGAATTTGTATAGTTCCACCGTGTATAATTGTAAAACATATCAATTAGTTGCTTAATTACAGTTTGCTCGACTTCCTGCTAACTATAGATTGCCTAATATGTATTTAGGAAATGCGTGTAATCAGTTCGTCCTGCAATCATCGTCGATCGAGAAGAATCGGACACAGGGAATTAGAAACAGTTCGAAGTTATAATTACATTGGAATTTGTCTTTGCATGGATATACATTTACTAATAAGAACCATAAGATAAGAGATTTTCGTAATGCTGGCCACTATTCAGTAATGGACGGGCCTTATGTTTCACGTATTTTTTTTTTTCTATGAAACTCATTAAACGAGTGTACACAACATAGTACCATTTACGGCTTCAATCGTGTTTAATATTCTTAGTATATTTTTATTAATACCTATATATATTTTAGGTGTCATGCGTCTTTATTCTGCGATTATGATTGTTAAGCCCAAACGAGGATGTACTAATATTTATAATATTCAAAATGGTTGGAAATGGTTGACATCAACGTTAAAGTTAGAACCGGAAGTAGACATTACTGCAACTTTAGTGCACACCTTCTTAGAAACTGCTGGCTTTGAAATGGAGGCTTGTTATGGAAAAATGTTTAAAAAATTGTTACAAATTATAATGGGCCAGTTTTTACCAAGTTGTAAACAGAAATGTACTGGAGGCGCACTTACCAGGTAATTTTATTTTCCTAATATATTATTACGATTTTCTGTGAATTCAGAGATTGAGTGAAGCAACGAGGTTTAACTAATTTTATTTAACTCCAAAAATTCACAAATTCTAATTACATTATTAATCATCGCTTACAGTACAAATTGACAAAACCAGTTGGTTCTTTTGGAATTCCTGGTAATAAAAAATCATTGATACTCCCTAGTATTAATATGAACCTAGTATGAACCCCTATGTCCCGTTTTGTGTATGGGGATATATACGGATTTCCCTGTTTTTAAGCCATGGACGTGTCATCCATACTATAGCAGATTTCCTGTACTTCTGTATGGTCAATGTCTTGCTGTGGTATTCTGTTCCACTCCATTGAAAGGTCCTCAAACAGTTGCTGTGTTGTATTGAACGCAATATTTTGTTGTAAAATACGTCTGCCCAATATACATACATGCGAAATTACATTTAAATCTGGCAATTGTGCAGGCCATGGTAAAACCTCAATTTCATTATCTTCGAGTAATGTTCGCACGACTCTGGAAGTATGCGGATGAGCATTGTCGTACAATAATTGGAATTTGGAACCAACTTGTTGTGCAAAGAGTACAACATTAGGTTCGAGAATAATATCGCGCTAGCCTGTTGCATTTAGAAACCGTTCTAGACAAACGAGGTTGGTTCTTCCACCAGGAGTGATGCCACCCCATACCATTATACTGCCGCCTTGCTGTCTATGAACTATAAACCTCCTTAACGGTGACCAATCGTTCAGCATTGCCAAATCGTCTCCAAATTCTTGTCCGTCTTGTATCTGGTGCAAATCCAAATCGGGACTCATCTGTGAACAAAGTAGAGGCCCACTCACGTCTAACCCAATTTGCGTGTTTTTGTGCCCACTGAAGTCGATAAGCACGATTTCCTCTGGATAATATAGGCACTCTCACAGGTCTTCGAGCATTTAACCATACTTCATGCAGTCTTTTTCTAATGGTTTGGCACTTGCAAACACCTGATGGGTCTCTTGCAGCCCCATTTGAAATTTTGATGCAGTTACACTGCGATCTCGCAAAGCCTACAACCTAATAAAACGGTCTTCAATTCTTGTACGGCCTGTATGATGTTCGACAACCAGTTTCTTGACGCCTTAACCGCAAACGATTAGTGACACTTGTGTTCTTGTGGAAGACCTCTGCGACGTCTCTTTGGCTTCATCCCCATAATACGCCACTGCGTTTTGCGAGTTAAATTATGTTTCTTCATTATTGGCGATTGCAAAACTAAATAAAAATCCGCATAGACATCGAAAATCAAGTACCAATAAAGAAATATTATGAGAAAAGGCAGCAAATGAAATTAATTGTGTTTCGAAACTATTTTACGAAAGAAATATTACTTTTTATCTGATAGACAAAAATCGCATATTGAAATTCTGAAGCTATTTTCTTGTGACATTTTAAAGTAATTACAATTTAAATGAAAATAAGCCACAATTAAAGGTTAAAGTAAGTTTATGGACGTTTCAATTTCCATTTCGGAAATCGTTCTCAAAATACAAACATTATTAAATTTACTAATTTACTCAATTGAAACTCAATTGAAATTGGAACAGTGCATGCCCTGTTTCCAGACTTTTCCTAATTACTTTTAAAAACAATTTCAAGACATGATCTTTATTACCACCTTTTACCAATTTTTCATTAAAAAAATCACAGAACTGGTGGACAAAAGTTCAGATGGGAGACACACTGTTTTAAAGTTACTATTGACTAAAAATTTTATATTAACTTAAAAGACTTCATTAAAATATCGATGGTTTATTTTATGGTATATCCATTTAGCCTAAATTATACTTTTATGTTTGTAGGTTGGAATTGCTTTTAGAAGACTATCTACAAAAACAGAAATTTGAATCACCAGATGGATATTTGGGATATACATATTGGTAAATTTGAAGAGGAATATTTATTTTTTGTGAATTAGACTGAATTGCACACCGTAATGTATATAACTGTTATTTCAGTGAAAACGTCGTCAACTGCTTTTAAGGAGGCGACTTTTAATTTTTTTTTTTTTCAAAATATACAAATACATTTCTAAAAAAATATACATTTTTAATATATTGCTTTTTTATTTAAAAAGAAAGATAGTTTTATAATTGAGGATCAGAATTGTAGGCTCTAAATTACAGGAAATGGTGATGACCATTGTGGGATATTGTTGGTGTTCCAGAGGCGTACAAAATTTCTTTGTAAGAGTTAGAGGATTATCAGATATAAGGGCAATTAATGAAATTAACAAGAACAACAAAACCAGAGTTATAATGCCAAAAGGAGAAACAGAATGCATATAACTAAAAGGAGGAATTCGCCAACGAGACTCGCTCTTCTTCTTCAAGTTCCACTCCTATCGGAGATTGGAAATCATTCTGGCAATTATAATTTTGTTGGATACGCGCCTGAATAGTTCAATTGAACTGCATCCAAACCATTCACGGAGATTACATAGCCACGAGATTTTACGTCTTCCTACGCTTCTTCTGCCTTTGATTTTACCCTGCTTTTTCGTCTCTCTGGAGACCAGAGAGACGAAAATTCGCTCACAAGGGACCTAGTAAATTTATGACAAGGCTCAACAGAATCTATTATGCATTTTTATGAAAAGATCATGGGACTTTTAAGCTGTATTAATAATTACCTAGAATTACATACCGTAAATACCGTTATTAAAAGGAGCAAACAAGAATTTTTCCGTCAACAAGCTCTTACAATATTCTTAGCAGGCCTACGAGATCAGAGCAATGAGACCAGAGACAAGTTTAGCCACGGGAATATAATACGTACAGGAAGAAAATAATGTTCGATACCTTCAAAAAAATCAAATAAGTCACTTCAACATCAGGAAGAAGCGAAAATTATTATAACGCCGACCAAAGAGACAGCAGATGCCTGTACCTATCCATAACCATTTTTGGATGACTCCTTTATATATCTTTATTACAATAATCTGCTTCTATATATGTTACAGGTATAAAACAAATAACAAAAAACACAACTCTAGCTACGAAACTCCAGAAGAGGCAACCTCAACAGTTCTGTTCATCCCTCACAAAACTTCAGGGGATGGAATAGTTACAGTACAATGACCGCTACCATCCAGTGAATTCTACCACGTGGATTCAACACGGCGCTACCGCTTGAACATTCTGGACTGAATTGCGACGTATTGGACAGTAAGATCAGCAATTATAAAATTATAAAACACCTACTGTGTTGTTACTAAAATCTTTGTAAGTCGATAATAAAAATTTTAATTTTGAGTTCAGTTTTTAAAAACGTGTTTTTCCCAAGAACATATAATTAGCGACACAAGATATCTCACGCATGCTGAATACATAACTGGCCTCAGTAGGGCACCAGCACAATTTAATTTTCAAAAAAAAAAAACTGAATCACTATTAAATAAGGATCACTCACCGATCCACATCGAAGGAGCTACAGCTGCTCAATTATTAACAAGATTATTAATTTCTAATGTGGTACAAGCTAGAGTCGAGACTGACAATCTTATTAGAAGAAATTGATAATGATGATTTTGCCAACTTTCTTGTTATCGATTTAGAATACCTAAAAGACCTTAAGATTGGGATATATCAGATTAAACTTGTATCGTCCTACATACAAGATAAAATAATTAGAGACAATACAAAGAGTTTCAAATTGATGAGAATATAGACGAATCCGGATTCATAAGAGTTCGAATATTTTCTAGGTTTCGACAAGCTAAAAAATCAAATATTAATTTCCTACATGATTGATGAAGATGAGCCTGTAGAAGACCCGATTAGCGGATACTATTGTACCTGTCAATCTGGTGCGAGAACTGTGGGTACTTGTGCTCATATAACCTGTGTATTGTGGTTTGTACGCTTTGCAATGTATGTAAGTATCCTCATATATCTTTACTTAAAACGACTTATGATGCATATAACCGAATTCAGCAGAACATACAGATAATTGAAGATAACTTAAACCCGAATTTGTCATAAACGATTGAAATCTAGCATAGCATGATCTTAACTGGTCAGATTGAGAACTTTCTTGCGGTAACTACCGCGGCACGATAAATTAATATTCAAAAAAATATATTCAAAAAAATCTTAAAAAAAACTTTGTGATAACGTGATATTTTGAGTATTGTCGATGCAGCAATTAAAGGGGTCTCTCTAAAACGTTGCAACTGACAATTTTTCACAAAGTGATGTTTTAATGTAAAATGGTTACTTACGCAGTTTAATATACAGTAGTGCTATTCTTTAGTCGCTAGTTGAATTAAACTAGGTATTATAAGTCAGGTCAGTGTAAAAAGGTTACTTAAAGAAACATAGCAGAACCAGAGAATGTGCAGTGTTTTAAAACAGACAAATAAAGGTAAAAAACGAAAAATACACTATGACCAATAGCAGCAGTTAAACAATAAAAGGTTATGGGATAGTGGAAAAAGTTATATGGGCCACAAAAATATTGTAAAAGCCAAAAAACAGTATCCAAATGAGGTATCCTAAAAACGTTACATGTGTATACTCCAACCTTAAATTTTTTCCTTAGTTTTGTTGTGTACTACAGCACATGTTTTAGAATTCAACTTGTTCGTTAACTCGCAATAAAAAAGTTGATATATTTAGTCGTTTTTAATAGTATTCTTATAATGAGCAGCAGCGGTTCCTTGCAGAATGTATGGAGTTAAGAGAGCCTAAACGAAGAATTGTGCCTAAAGATATATCCAAACGCCAATGTACTATCAAGTATTCACTTCCAGTAAATATTATTGCTTCACAACGGCAGCAGGTATGTCAAAAACAAATTATATCTGTTTTGAATTTAACTCGGCGGAGATTGCAGCTTCTTGCAAGTAAAGTTACGCAAGGTCTCAGCATCGACGATGGTCGTGGTAAACATAACAATAGACCACGAAATATGCGGATCAAGAGCTCGCCACTACGCATATTTCTTCTTTTCCTTGTCAAGAAAACCATTATTTGAGAAACTCAAATAAAAAGAAATGTCTGGCTCCAAACCTATCCATATCTAGAATGTACCAATTATTTCGAAATATGTACCCTACCAAAAGGGTACAATTACACTTGTATAGGTCAATTTTTTATGACATTTTTTTTCCGTATTTCCAGATTCCAGTAAGAGCCTAAGAAGGTATCCATTAAATTCTGACAATCAACGGTGGGGAAAATCTTTTTTGGACATCTACACGTCACGGAACAAAACACCCTGGCATCTTTCAGCCGAGTAGGATACTAGGCCAGAAGACCCCAGGGTAGTGCCGGATTAACCGTGTTCCGGCTAAAACCTTAACCACCGTTTCCAAAGAAATGGTCTTGCCACTCAATAAACAACTAAAATAAAAAACTAAAAATTTATAAATAACCATACCTATTACCGTAAATCAGAAAATGTTTAGACGTTAGGCCATAATCTAATAAATACTTCTTCTCGTGCCACTTCTAGCGGAGATTGGAAATCATCATGGCCACTGCGACTTTGTTAGCAGCGTGCCTAAAAAGTTCAATCGAACTACACCCGAACCATTCACGTAGATTACGAAGCCACGATATTTTTCTTCTTACTACTATTAAGTACTACTTCTTAATACTATTAAGTATAAATTATAAATCCCTGGCTCACTTTCCTCTTCTGTCCTCCTGCTCCTTTTTCTTCATCACCCCAGAAATCAGACAGTGTACTTCTCTCCATTCTTTCTCTCCTCTCAACATTATGTTTACAATATTTCTTTCACCCAGCCCGAAACCCATTAGCCTCTCGAAATCTCCAATCTCATCTGCCCATTTCTGGCAGTTAAAAATGTGAGTGGGAGCGTCCGGTATCCCACAAACAGTACAGTCTGCCGAGGCAGATTTACCTATTCTATTTATGAAGGTGCCAAAAAAAAGTAGTCTAGTTTCCTGAACTTACATTCCCACCACGGTCTCAGATCGGGAATAAGCTCCTTCGTCCACCTTGCCTTTCCACTACTATTCGCCCATTCTCTCTGCCACTCTGCTATCGATCTTTCTCATTCTCATCTATATTTACATCCATCCTCCTCGCATACATCCTCGCTCGCTCTTTACACAAAAAAAAAACAATCGGTATCACCGCTTCAATGACATATAGAGCCTCACTTGAAACTGTCCTATATGCGCTAGATACCCTGAGGAGCATTCGCCTTTGCGAAGTCTCCTCAGGGAGACAGAACAGACTGGAAAACTCCATTTAACACCTTTCTTTTGGTGCTTCCTGGACCTCTAATGTTTGGCATCAGCCGTATGAACGCCTCAAGATTTCGGTTCGCCTTCTCTACTGTCTTTTGGATGTGTACTTCAAACCTTAGAACAAACCATGACACATTTAACTTAAGATTTGGTGTTCCCAGATTTGATAAATGTAAAGTTTGTGCCAAATTTTATATACAAATGGTTGCAAAACAGAATAATGAAGAGTTAAAGCAGCTGCAATTTCAGTCAGAACTGCACAGAAAAGCAGAAAGGCTTATAAAACGTTGGCAGAAGATACACAGGCAGCTATTGAAAATGAAAATTTGGTGTTGTGTCCTGCACTGATTTGCAGCAGGTCCTTTTTACTCCTAATCTAAGCCATTCAGATGTCTATTACTTGAGACAATATTCTAATTATAACTTTTGTATTCATAATATGGGGAAGAATAGAACAACAATGTCTGTTTGGCATGAAAGTGTAGGAAAACAGGGACCATGGGAAATTTTCTCCGCATTATTTCGCTACATTCAAAATAATTTTGAAATCCTGGGTCCACATCAGGAGAGAAAACTTATAGTATGGTCTGATAGGTGTGTAGGCCAGAACAATAATTAGCGGATGGCAGCTTTGTATCATTACCTTGTTTCATTGCGTTATTTCACAGAGGTCAATCAGAAATTTCTGGTCACAGGACACAGTTTTTTTGCATGTGACCGCGATTTCGCCATTATTAAAAAATTTAAGAAAACGGTAACCCTTCATGATCCTCAAGATGTTGTAAATATGATTAGGAATACAAGAGAATCGAATCCATTTGATATTTTGGAAATGG